CCACTTCACTTAATATTTGAAAAGTGAAATACAACCAGAGGAGTCCTGAGCTGTAATGGCGAAGAGCGCAGGCACCACAAAGACATGGACAGCTAGCACTATCCCCACTCTAGAGAGATACAGAACCCCACCACAAAGCGGTGCTGAGAAGCAGTGTGTGTCTGCGACCGAGAAGGCTTGCAGAGGAAGGAATGAGAATTGGCACCATGCAGATATTAATTCCCGCTGGCACAATAGCATTTCTGTGTGTTATGCTGATGTCAGCTGTGTCAGAGTCCTCCTTCGCTGATACATGGCTCATTATGCGCTCGCGCCAAAGTCTCTGGGAAAAGTTACTTTAAAAATAAAGCAGGCAAATCCCCTGAGCTCACATAAAGAGCAAAGGAAACCTAGTGAACTGGGCTCCATGAGGAGGTTTGCAATTGCACATTGTGAAACTTTGCTTCTTTAAACAAGAGCGCCTCTCGGAGGCAGTGAAACATTTGCATTGTTGTGCTAGGGATTTTCCAGGAGTGTGAGCCTGTGTCTGGAGCTGCAGCTTCTGCAGCCTTTCATAGAAATGGGATGAGATGCTCAAGTAAAAGCCAACTACAGATTCCAGGCTGTCCACCAAGGTGAGAAAAGTCCAGCCAACATGCTCCAAAAAGGAGTTTTTAAAAATGTGCCCATTCATTAGTAGTGATGTTGAAGTCCGAGAAACCAGCCCCAAAGCTTCTACTTTTCCCCTAGTCTGAAAGGAAACTTTCTCTGACCAAACAGTCTGGTTCACGCAGATGTGTGAACAAATTCAGCTACAGTTTTAGCCTGGGGTGCAGAAGACAGCGATAGCAGGCAGCGCATCTTGCAGTTCAACCCTTAGGATCTTCTGAGGAGCAAAAAGTTTGAATCACATGTAAGTCCCCTGACTATTAGTACCGCGCGAGAAAGACAAGCCAGTGGCTTTTGAATTCTTTCAGACATTTAATCTGTTCAAGGGAGTGCTGGGTGGCATGCTGTTTTTAGACTGAAATAATAACCTTGAATCAGAGGACTTTAGGGTGGATGACACTACAGCCGTCGGGGAGGGTGGGGGGGGGGGAGTTTTACTAAGGAGGCTGGATGAAAGAATTAGAACAGGAAGAGTGACCCTCAGCAAGGGCCTGAAAGCTGCTCTGACTTCCATCGAATCAGCTGCTGGCCCAGACACCATTTCTTACAACTAAATCCCTAGTGCAAATCAGAAGCAACCCAAGCGAAGTTAATGAAATTACACTGGCTTGAAACCAGAGTAAACGAGCCTAGAATCTGGTCAAACTACTGGAGTTTTTCAGCTGAGGTAACTAAACTGGAGTCATTGGAGTTTTACTGTTTTCAAAGAGGAGCGACTGAAAGGAAAATGCAGCTCAGTTCCATACCAAGCCCCTCCTCCTACAAAGCAAAATGAAATTTTACCATTAACAGCAGCACAGAAGTCAGCACATTTGTATCTGCTCTCTGGAGGAAGTACCTGTGCCCTCCCCTTTTCTAAAGTAACTGCTGCACATGCAAGTCTTGTAGAAGCGAAGCGAACGCTCTCAGTGACTTAGATGTTAGCACTGCCCCTAGCCCCTTGCAATCTACTTGTGCAACAAACAAATTGATCAGTGCTGTGAAAGTGCAGAGAGGCTGGCCAGGAAGCAGTAGAGCATTTACGGACTGTAACTCCTCCCTGGGAGACTAGATTCCACCTTGGGAACACGAGGTCAGGGCAAGCAGGCCAGGTTTCTCCTCCCATGACAGACTCCCCACTTTCAAACCTAGTCAAGAGCAATCTACAATTTCATGATGTAAGATTTGAAAATGGGGACCACATCCCCAGAATATCAAAGAATACAGATGAAGATGATACAGAATCGCTGAGGAGTCATGACGCTGCTCCCAAACTAGCACTGGTCCACTTGACCTTTAAAAATAATTGTCATGGTTCTAACCACTGCAATGTGCCTCAGGGTATGTCTACACTAGCCCCTACTTCGATCTAGGGAGGCTAATGAGGGCAACCAAAATTGCAAATGAAGTGCAGGATTTAAATATCCCCCGTTTCCTTAGCATGTTCCCGGCCGGTCGCCATTTTAGAAATTGACTAGCCCGAAGTAACTGCCCACGTCTACACATGGCAGTGAAACGGGATTCCAAATTAAAGCCCTAAATCGAATTAGCTGTTATTCCTCCTGGACTGAGGTTTAACAGCTAATTCAATTTAAGGCTTTATTTCTCTTTATTTAGGCTTCGGTTTGGGACCGTTTTTGTTTAAAAAGTCCCCTTAGGGGAAGCCAAAGAGTAACGGCAGCAAGGAGGGAGACAAGCGCTGGTAGCAGAAGAAAGAAAAGGCCGGAGAGAGAGGAAGAGGGAGCTGGAGTGAGCATCTGGCAGGAAGATCAGCTTTTGCAGGAGAAGCATCGTGAATTGCTGTTCAGTGACTCTCTCTGGCCAACCCACAAGAAGCCAGTGAGGGAAGGGCCTTTAAAAATGGCTGAAGGAGCCCCATGGGGCCTGCCCCTTCCACTCAAGGCTCCACCCCTTCTGGGAGCACACACCCCCCCCTCACACACACACTTTGACCACAGCCACCTTGCTGGTTCCACTGCATACAGTACTGCAGTCCCTCCAAAGCTGTCCCTGCCCAGGTAGAAACTGTCCTGAGAAGAGTCACTTTGCCAAAGAAGAATGTGAAGTGTGTAAGGAGCTGAATCGTTGCATGTCGACAGCTGTGCTGATACAATTAGACACCAAACACTGACTGGTCCCCTAGTATCTCTGGTGGCCACATTACCCGGGCTGACAATCAGAGTTCTGAGAGGACCCTTTACTGTGTTATTTGGAGGTAATATTTTAGCACCCTGCTCTGATGTACTGCATCAGCGATTACGCTTGTCACTAACCAGCTGTCATCTTCTCTTCTCTATACAGAAGAGTGTGGATTCACTAATGTTATTCTTACACAGAGCACGTTAAACAGAGTTACTCTGTCTTGGGTGTTAAAGGGAGTTATGTTTGAAAACATGTAGTAGTAGTAAGGAGACTGGATTTTCCTCAGTACTGAAGAACACTGGTCTTTTACTTAAGCCCCGAGTGTCCTTTTCCCTTCTGTTTATGGCAGAACTGTCTTAGAAAGGGCCACTCTGGGAAAGAAACTCCTGTGCAGACTTGTGCAAGCTCGGGTGAATTTCAGCCACATCCGATTATGAGCTAGCTTGATCACAGATAACAAGTTGTCTAACTTCCAAAACACAAGTTTCCCTCTGAGATTCCTAATTCCAAGACGAACCAATACGAGGGCACTGGAGGTGCTTCGTGTGTTTAAAGACAATAAAACACAAGCGACATTCGTCTGTGTGACATTCATTCCGACACTGAACAAGAGCATTTGCACAGCATCTTCCATGCGTGGCTTTGCTCCTGTTCCCTTCTCTGCCTCCCAAACTCTGGTAAATCACTTAGACGGCAAGGTGCTAGTTAACAACGCGGAGTTGCTAGCCACAGAGATCAAGATGAGATGTTCTTATATGTTTGCTCTCTTGTACTTCACTGCATGGATCTACCTCTCAATGCCACTGCCTACATCTATGCAAGATGAGTTGACTAGTAAATTTGGGGGCATTCATCTAAGCAAGAGGGGGATTGCTTGGACTGAACTTAGTAGCAGATTTTCATTAAGCCTTTCTTTACTCTTTTGGTTTAAACAATTTATTGAATGCCAATTCAACATTTGAAAAGAAAAGCAAACTTACAGGTAACAGAAAAGAGAAAACCACAGCCCTTGACACAATAAAGTCTTTTCCGACCAGACAAAACCAAAAGGACTCACCAGGTCTCAGCGGAACTGACTTATCTTGCTACAAGCTTCGGAAGTATTTTTTGCCCCCTTTAAAATATGTAGGACATAGGAGTCTTAACTGAATCTCATTGATGTACTACTTGAGTATTGATTTTTATTTTTCAAAAGACAATCAGAAATACTAAGCAACTTCAAGAGTATGTGGCAAATTACCATGAAATAAAAACAGTTTATGAAGTAAATTTAGAGTTTGTGGTTGGAACTACTTTGGAACTACTACATCAGAGTTGGGAGGGAGCCGACACAAGTAGAGAAATCAATCCTGTTGTTGGGTATTTAACCTGTGTAAAAACCATTGGTCAATTGACCAATCAAATATTGTCAAATAATGTAAAAAATGGTCAAATATTTGAAAGCACTAATTTATCGGTTAGTAACAACAGTAACAAAATAGAACAAGATTTTATGGTCACTAGCAAGAGTTGCCTTAGACACTTATGCCTAATTACAAAAAATAAGTTACTTAACTAAGTCATTTTAACTCAGGAAAAATGCAACACTCAGTAAAATTAAGTTCTAAAAATGAAAGAGTGACACCATCCAAAAGGGCAAGCTGCTGTCTAAATCAGGACATTCTCGCTACAATATTTGGTAATATTCCATGGAGGACAAATAATAGGCTGTCAACTGACATTATTTGACTGGTTGATCGATCAGTTTGCAATCTACCCTTTCAACTCCCCAGCAAAAAGCCCCTAGCAACAGAAAAGAGCATTCCAATTCCGTCATCACTCAGGGAAGCAACTAGTAAGAACTTCATTTTGAGCTGAAGACTCTGAAAAGAACTAAAAATATGGTGCCATCCCATGATCTCCTCCACAGAGACAGCTGCAGGAAATATCTGCCACCCTTCCACTGTCTTCACTGACCCATTTGCAGAGCGGTGCTAATGAAGTGCTTGCTAACTCGAAGACCAGCTCAGGAAAGAAACTGAATCTAGATGGACTTATATACAATTCTCAAGAGTCAGTTTAATTTAAGTGGCTGTAGAAAAGTAAAAGGGAACCACTTGGGTCAGTCTATACCTGGCTATCCCCTGCTGATATCCACTGGACACACCTTTACTGACTTGACTTTGTTTTTGCTGATCAGCTCTTATGAAACAGGTTGTAATAAAAGTCTGGAAACAAAATGAGATACTTACCCCCCTTCAAAGATCTTGATCCTGGCTGGCTCCCCTCTTTTGGATACGGGAGCCTCTTCTTCTGATTTGCCTCTTTTATCCTCTTCCTTCTCAGCTCTAGTTAAATCTTTTCGACCTTCATTGGAAAGGAGTGAAGGCAAATGAACCTACCTCCCCAAAAGAGCAAAACAATCATTTATTACATTTCAAAGGGCTCTAACAAATACACAGACCATATACACAGGGTTCCCTCCGATTGAGAAGGCAGCCTACCACAAGTGATGTTGACTAGGACAACTGTACCTAATAATGAGGACTCGCATTTTCAAATATGCTCTCAAATTCTGGCTCTTGTACCCTGTTCGACATGTCTAATTTAGACTGAACTTTTAAGTGCTGGGAATATGTACTATAGTACAGACATATTATGTAAATTAACAGCAATTTACATATTTTATTTTCATAATCATCATTAACAAATTTTAGGAATTATGTTCCTCTTGTAAGGCTGGTCTGTACAGTTCTCTTTCTTTTACAAAATTGGAAACTGAGGCATAGATAGGTGAAGTGTCTGCTACAGGGTCACTGGCTTAGGAATAGAAACCCGACTAGGTTCCCCATGCACTGCTCCAACTGTTGGAAATACTATTTCCTATATATCCTCGCACTCACTGCTAGAGTCGGACAGTATATGCGTTGCTAAAAAGGAAATATTGCAAAACGAGTGAGGTCGGCTTCAACTTTGGTCTCTTTCTTCAAAAATCTACATTTTCACCTCTAAACTTTGTAGAAACCACTGGTCTCTGAAAGCGACTTCCTTTCAAGAAGAACAGAGCTAGCCAAGTGCCCGATATAAGGCCAACAAAACCTGCTTCTCTCTCTCCCCCAAGAGGTTCTAAAAGTGAAGTTTTCTCTTCTTCTCACTGTCAAGCATGAGACCCTCGCACAAAGACAACCACACTATGACATGCCACTAGCATGAGTCTGTACATCGCTGTGTTTATACCCTGCGGGTCTATGCCTTGGTTCTGTGCTATGGGACTCAATCTGTCCTCAGACGAGCAAGGCTCTGCGCGTGAACCTCGCCATGCCACTTGAAGGAGCGCCGCATGACCCTGCATTGGGGGGGCATTGCAAAGGCCCGAGCTAACAAAACGTTTTATTTCACGTCACACGCAAAGTTGTGAAAGAGCAAATTGGCTTTCGCCTGAGTTACATTTACTCTGCATGCCCAGCAGTGCACGACGCCTTCATTTTGTGGCTACTGCCACTGGGGAAGAGAGGGAAAGGGGGCTGACGGCCTCAGTGGGCTCCTGGGCAAGGTGGGAGCGGGGCTCCATGTTCCCGGGGGGGGGGGGGGCCGGGCTTTGACTAGAAGGGGGGGACCAGGGGCAGCCAGTCTTGAGTGCTGCAGTAGCAGCAGCACCAGTTGGGAGCCCCAGGTCCTTTTGAATCACCGAGCCCAGGGCAATTTCCTCCTTTGCCTCCCCCTCCCTGCATTGGCAGGCCTGACTGCCATTAAATGCTCAGTGCTTACTCCAACTCCTCTAACCCTCATTGTACGAGGAGTAAGGGAAGTCGGGGGAAGAGTGCTCTGCCTTGAAATAACTGCTGGGTGGCCAGCGCCAAGAGCTGAAATAGGCTATTTCGACTTGACCTACGCAACTAGCATAGCTCAAGTTGAGTAGCTTATTTTGAGTTTAGCCCTCCTGTGTAGACATGCTCTGAGGGGCTGAGAACCTAAAACTCCAAGTGAGGTCAGTGGGAGCAGGGATGATCACCACATTCAAAAACCACAACCTAGACTGAGGTCACAACGTGAACACCCAAAGTTGATGAAACTTTTCTGCAAGTTTTCACCCTAACTTTTTCTATGCTCCAGTTTCATCTTTTGTAAAAGAACAGCGGCAATATATGCCATTACAGACGTAGCATTAGGAAAGGGCTAGACATAAATGGACAGATAGAAGGCCCTAGACAGTTGTAAAATAAATTAAACAGTGGTTATTCTACTAACACATAATTGTGTATCATTGAAAAAGGGTGCATTGTTCACTAGCAATTTAGTTAGTCATGTAGCTATTTGCAGAGCGCCCAACGCTTCCTTCAAACTTCACCTGTTTGGTAAATTTTACTCAGACTGAAAAATCAAGCCCAGTATGAAGACTGTATGCAATATACAGCTTACTGGTAACTTATATCAGGTATTAAAGCCTCTGGTTTATATTAACTTTTCTACTGTACTATCTGACAATGTATAGTTCTATAAAGAGGAATTTTAAGAATATTTACTAAGGTTCGGACTGAAGTCTGAACTTGTGGTACCTGATTGTGGCCACTGGAATTCAGCTAGTGTTGACCTGGGTAGCCAGGAAACTGTCCCTGGAGATTTTTCTTAATAACGGGTATATTAAATGAGCAGGCTTTAGAACTTTCTTCCTACTGAACATTTGATTGAAAAACACTATCTATTTGGTATTAGAGCCATTTTCCTCCAGGATTTGTGCTAATACTATCCCATTTAAGCAGCAGTTACTAATACAAACTCAGGCAAACCATTTTCTTAGAAGACACACCACGAAAGCAGCCGTCTCAGTTTAGTATGTTCCAGCTGAACACAGTAAACATATTTTACATATACACCCCAGGACCTCTCATCATGAAACATTCTATACATACCACCAGTAAAGGGTAGTGGACTTGGAGTGGGAGACCATTATCTAAGAGAGAACTCAACAGTGCAGAGAAGTGCCTTTTGTAGATACACCAGGGCAAAGCCCTTACTCTTGCAAAATGCACCATGATCTCTTTAATATCCACTGGGGTTTATTTTGATGGTTTTGGCAAAAAGATCTTTAATCCTGTTGGGGAGAGCTGCATGTCATTACATATATCTCTGCCTAGAGGACTGAGCTGTGTCCTCCTGTCCAGATTTCAACCTAGGATTCCAGGGACACTAGATATTTTAAACCTGAGGTTTAGATGCTCCTCCCAGGCCTAGCCTAAAAGCACTCCCCTATGTGTGTGTGATCACGCACAATTCTCATCAAAGTCAACTGGAGGGCAGGTGGCTGAGAATGGGGCCCATCATGGGCAGTATGCTTTGAGACTCTTTGGAATGAAAGATGCAGAACAAGTGTGAAATATTAGTTACTGTTATTATAACACTCATTTTATGTGTCTCCTGGCTCCTTGAAATCCTGCCTTGAGGGTTTCTGCAGGAGACTGATGGAAGTGCTGAAGAGAAATATGGTAACTGCGGTGTCTATTTTAAGACATATTTATATGCAGCAGTTGCAGCTGACATTATGATAAATTCCATCTTCAGGGTTCATTTTGTGATTCAGAAATAAAATGAACTATCCAGCAATACAAATTGGGTTGAAATGAGTATCAAATTGCAAAAACTTCAGAGCAAATCTGTGTGCTAATCTGCATACTTGTGACCTGGATGAAAGGGACTGATGTAGTTCGGTATTGACTGAAAGTAGTATCTACTGTGCTCTTGAATCTTCCCTCCCATCCCACCATCAACATGATGGGGGAAAGCACCATGCGGCAATAGACAGATGACAGGCCCCCTTGACATTAGTGGAGCTCTGCACAACCTGTGTGATGCAACTTACATAACTATGGCATGGTTGGTTACGAATATAAAACAGGTTTCTCTTGCTTCCTTTAGCCTTTTTCAGGGACTCGGGTCAGATTTACAAAAAGTATTAAGGTTCCTAAAGGTGCAGCATTAAGTGCCCAACCTCCATTGATTTTCCAGTGGGAGTTAAGTGCCCAGGTGTGGGATGGGCAGGTACTTACAGATGGAACCCACTGCCTGAAGCATCCCTAGCTGTATACTGGTTTGGTATTTTGATAACACTTCACAAATTCATGAGAACTTTTATCGTTTTGAAAACATTCAAATGCTAAGCCAGGCCATCAGGGCAAACTTAAATACCATCTTTTGTGATCGGTGCTGGTAGTTCAAAGCAAGGAGGTGGCCACTCCTGCTGCGCTGATTACTAGACCAGTAAATTATAGAATATCCTGCCATACAGCAAATTTGTCAATGTCATCTGGCCAACAGTGTTTCGTGTTCTTATGCATGCCCACGGTCCCTTCGCGGGTAAGCGCTCACCAGCATGAGAAAGGTTCCCCAAGAAGTCCCTGCTAAATTAACTCCGCCACCTCTCCTCCCTCCATTTCTGCCTCCCCCCTCACAGATAGGAGGAAAGCCAAAATGTTCTTACCTCTGTCATTTTGGGCTTCCTGGAGCCGGACGGCACAAGCTTGCCTGTCTCTGGACGTGGAGCTGTAGCCATGGTATAGATTTCTTTGCTCACCTTCTGCTTGGATCTCAGGAGTGAGAGGGCTGCTTTAGTGGATATACCCGGCAGGTTGGGATTATACAAGCTAATGCACCAGCTGGCATACACCGAGGACCGTCGGTCGACTTGCTGGATGTGATTTGGCTTTATGTAGTTTAAATAGCACCAACTGACATTAGTAGTTGTGTGGAGACTGGGGAACTGAAGTACCTTCTTCAGATCTGTACCTTCTCGAGACTTCATTGCACTTTGAGTGACCTCGGAATGAGGTACTGGGCTCGGGGGGCTGGGTAGGGGTTGCTCCACCAGCTCTTTGGAGTCTTCCTTCTTTACTAAAGGGGTTTTGCTTCGGTACTGCTTGCCCGCCTGTGGTGCGTAGTCCTCCAGTGCCTCAAAAGCCGAAGCACCCGAATGTGCACCTGGTGGCATACTACTTGGGATTTCCTTTGGCTCAGATTGCTCAGAGGACAAAGTAGGTGGAGTTTCAACCTCAACCCGGCCTTGTCTCTCTGCTAGAAAGTGAGATTTCTCCTGCTTTTTCCCCTCCTCGATTGCACTGTGTGGCTTCACCACTTCTAACTTTTCCTCCACTTCAGAGACTTCCTCCTCTTTCACCCTTTTCTGCTGCTGCGTTTCCATCGTCAGCTCCAAGCTACCAGCTGGTGAGAGCATCCGCTTGCTTCCACCCACTGTCGACGAGCCCCCTTCCAGTCCCAGGATGCTTTCTGATGAGCAGGTGAGTGGCATATAGCCCTTGCTTTCTGGTAAGGGTAACGGAACTCTCAGATACGGAGTCTGGAAGAGGCTTCTTTGATCTTCTGTGATCATCTGTGCCAAATCGAAGCCTATTCCATGAACATCAGAGCTGCACACCAGGGCACCCTTGGGCTGGCAGTCATCGAACTTTGGAAGGAGAATAGAAGACGGACTGCCCTGGGACTGAGTGACTAGGATTTGAGAAAGCGTAGTATACATTGCACTCCCGTAGGTTGGCATGTTAGTCTGAATGCGAACGGGGACTACAAGTGATACCATAGGATCCGGACATGTCGGAACCCCCAACTGGGAGGTGGAGTCTGGGGCTGACGGGCTGGTTGTGCGGGTCAAAGGATGTAGCCTGGTGTCGGAGCTGTACTCTGTGCACGGAGGAAGGCTGGAGGTCCCTGCTGGTGGAGACACACTGGATTTGATCTGCGATAAATGGCCACCAATCTCCCTTGGCAACTGGAGAGCAAATGGAGGCTGCAGAGGTAGAAAAAACGTAGACGGGAGTGGAGAGGAGCCTGGGTAGTGGACAGGCAGGAAGGAAGGGTGCTGCCCAAATGGCACTTCTGCTGGGTGTGGCATTAGTGGAGGGACAACGTGAAGCTGGCCGGGGTGGAGAAGAGCCTGGTGGAGAGGAAGTGGCGGTGTCTGAAACAGAGAGGGCGGCACAGGAAATGGAGCAGAGAGGATGTCGGACATCACAGGAGTGGAGAAGAGCTCTGCAGCCTGCCCTGGCTGTGGCAGGAGGTGCTGGAAAGGGAAGAGAGAGACTTGGGGAGACATACGCTGTTTTTCATGCAGCGCTAGCTGTGGAACGGGGTGATGAAAAACCTGCAGAGCCTCCGTGTATGGCTGGCTGTAGACAGGAGGAGGGCTGTCTTTTGGCTGACTCTTATCAGCATGGGAGGAGGAGGACGATGAAGATGTAGGCTGATGGGGCAAACTGGTGGCAGATTTACTGGAAGAAGTCAATAGTTCTTCTGTCTCTTGCTTTCCTTTTGGGGCTGAATCTGCCTCATGCTCGGGATGCCGAGTGAGGGACGCTTGCCTAACCAGAAAGCACTTCCTCCTCTCCCGTGGAGTGGCAGAAACCAAAGGGCCAGGTGCTGCAGAAGCTGGTGACAAGCTCCCATAGTCAAACGATTTACTGCGGGGCTCTGACATCTGCGAAGGATGAGACACGTTCGGGGTCTGCTCGGAGGCAGATCTTCGCATTTCCCTGGAATGATGATGGTGGCTTGGTACCGTTAACATGTGGGAGCCAATGCCAAGAGGTTTAGGGTGGAATTCGGAGGGCTGGCTGACAGACTCTGCTTTACTGTACTCTTCACGGTCGAACGAAATGGAGTGGCAGGAGCCATGAGAAATACTGCTTTCCTGACTTGGACTTCTTGTCAGCGAGACGGACTCAAAACTGGACTCTCCAGAAGACTGAGTCAGTTCCGCCAGCCGCAGCCTTTTCTTTTTGGGTGGGAGTTTCTCCGCAGGGAGCTGGGAGAGAGTTTGGCTTCTCTGAGGCCATTGAAATTCCTCTGTTTTTTCTGGCTCTTTAGGAGGTGGCTCAGGCTCTGTTTCAGGTCGATCGGGCTCTTCGGTGACCAGGATCTCCGGGACCTGGATGTTGGGTTGACGTACCAGCTTTGGCTGCAGGGAATGAGGTGGCCTACTGTGCTGCACGGTGGGCTGAGATGAATACTGCGATAAAGGCTTTTCTTCTGCTTCTAAGCCACTCAGCTGCTCAACAGAGTCAGCCTTCTCGAAGGAACTCGTATGCTGGATGACAGAGATCTCTTTGGAGGTTTTTCTTCTCTCTTTGCTCTCTGCGCTAGAAACGGACTTTGTCGTTCTGGAGTGAAAGCCAGCACTAGCACTAACTTCAGTGAGCGGAATGGCTTTGCCTGGATCAGCTGATGACTTAATGGACTCACGGGGTAAGTTCAAAGCAACCTCTGATGATGGTGGGTTAGCGAACTGACTTCCAGGTCTCATGCTGGAGGCGGGCATTTCAGGCAACTCAAAAGCCGGAGGGTCCTCATCGTCACCAAGGCTCTTTTCTTTTCGTCTTTTTCGGAGTGGAGTAAGCTCTAAACTGGTCCCTAGCTTGTAATGCATCATCTGCGGCCATGACTCAGGGTCCACAAGACTCTTCTCGACTTCTGAAGAGGAATGGGAACTGGAAGAACGAGGCTTTGAGAGCTGCAGTTCTGAACAGTAATATTTCTTATGCGCTTCATAATTATCCCTTTTCTTGTACCGAGCACCACAAATATTACACTCATAGATGAAGCCTTTAACTTTCGGACCCTTCCTTGACTTTCTGGTCAGATCACTTTCCTTGATTTCTTGTTCTTCAGTAGGTTTGGAAACGGTTTCTTTGCTTACTGAGCTTACCTCCTCTGGCCCATATTCCACCCCCAAAGGTAGCTCAATAGCTGGCTGTCGTTTTAGCATTCGAGGGTGCGAAGAAAACACTTGACTGCGGCTTAAGACGTCAGATTCCATGATGCGGTCATCAAATGAATAACTAGCTCTGAAGGTCTGAGGGGAGCTTATAGTGCATGCAGCAGAAGGCATTGAGTGGCTTCTTAGGAGAGGCACGGTCTCTGTGGCACTGTGGGGTTGCTGAAGTGATAACAGAGGTGATTGTTCAGGCTTACTTTTTTCACTGTGGGATGTCAATGATTTTGATGCATTCAACTGGCTACTGGAACCAGACTTGCTGTCATACTGAAATGATTCTCTGTATATGCCAGACTTTGGAGATTCAATGCTGCTACGTCTAGATAAAGAACTCCTTCTAGGTTTCACACTGTCAATTTCACTGGTATCTACCACAGCTTCATTAATTGTAATTAGTTTAGTGATGTGTTCAATTACTTGTGTTCTAGGCACAGACAATGGTACCATGCTAGGTTTATCTTCTGGGGACATGTGTGGAAACCCCTGGGTTGCGGTTGCAGCTAACATTGCTGTCCTCTGCCCAATTCTCCCACATTTCCCAAAAATAATTTCTGCATAAGACTTTGCATTCGTATTTGGTGGGCTGATTTGCTGTTCTGCACTTTCGGATCGCGAGAAGTAGCCCGACTCTGTACTTCCTTTGCTGCCGGGGCTAAGGAAGGCCTGTTCATCTATCACCTTCTTCCGTTCACTTAATCGGAGTGCAAGCTTCTGCTTTATAGTATGTGTATCTTCTGGTTTATGGCTCGAAACATGATCAGATGAGGGCTCCACAAACTGCGAGCTGTCCTCGAGAGACTGAGACATACTGGAATGGGATAATGAACACCGATCATGGCTGGAACCCTGGCTTCCTACACTATGCAAACTACTGGATAACAGGGTGTGCTTTTGCCTGGGTGATAGTTCTAATGAATGGCCCGACATTGCACCTGTCTCCTCTTCTGAATCTGTGCTTTCTCCTTCAGTAGGTTCTTCAAATTCCTCCCCACCGATCCGTTCCATTTCCAAACTGGAAGGATACATCTCTGCTCCGATTCCTGAGGCCAACCCCGCTTTTATTCTGTGAGCATGAGATTTCCTGTGTTTATACAAATTGCTTTTAGTCTTAAAAGAAAAGCCACATGGAATGCAAGGGTACGGCCGCTCACCTGTGTGTGATCTGATATGTTTCTGGAGTACGCTTGGCTTTGCACAGGGCCTACTGCAGTACTGACAAATGTATTTGCCTGGCTTCTGAGGTTTCTTCTCCTTCTTGTGCACTTCCTCTGTTTGTTTTAAGGAAACCTGGGAAGGTCGAGGGATATAGACTTTTTGAACAGATGACACGTCCTCCGCAGGCAGGACTGATGAATGGGAAGGTATGAGCTGGCTGTGATGAGGATGAAGCCCAGGTGATGAAAAGGAGCCAGATGGACCCGGTCTTACTGGATCGACTAGCTGCCATGTGGGCCCCTCAAGGATCTGCTCTGGCTTTCCAGGAGACATAAATGCTGGTGACAGCGGATGCTGCTGAAGCTGTGAAACGTGGGGAGAGTGCTCAAAAGAGGAATGTTTGGCTTGCTTCTGATGTCCAGTTTTCTCCTGAGACTCCTCTCTTGGAATCGGCAAGGAGCCAGAAAAGTGCTGCTGCGATATAATATCACACAGAGGGGTTGCTTGTGAAGAGGCAGAGCTGCCCTGGTACCCAGATGCAGATAGAATACTGGATTGGAAAGCCTCTCCTTTGCTAAGCCTCTTTCTGGGACTTTCCTCCGTCTTCTTTGTGCTTTTCTGGCTTTGTTCAGGATCCATGACCTTAAAAGGGTCTTTGAATGCTATTTTGGGCAGGTTTTGGCAGGCTTCATTTACAAATAATAAAGGTCTCCTCTGTAGATTCCCTATTTTGCCTGCATTTGTTATGAAGCTGGAGCTACCAAGAGATGATTGTTGATTTAAGATTTTACTAAAGTATCACTAGTTGCTATTTGATTCAAAAAATGTTTCAAGGTCAATAAAGTTCACATTGGTAATGCATGACAAACTACTTCAAAGAGAGAAAACTTTCCAAAACTTTTAGTCCGAATGTTTTCCTTGTGAACTTGGTTAAGGCTTTAAATCTTGCCATTTTATTTCAGTTGACAGTGGCAAGCCTTCAAAGTCAGGAAGCAACCCACAATGTGTCTCTTGTTTGTTATGCAAACTTTTGAAAACTTGAGACTTTAGTGCTCATCTCATAATCATCGTTTTCCTTTGCAAGTAAAATAATACTGAATGGTGTGTGTTCCCTGTGTCTTCCTGCTCTTCCACTACTGAGTTCAAAGGTCTCGGAAAAGTATTCCCCACATTTCTGTAATTACATCAAGCAAGACACAAACACACACAAATTACTTGTCATTCAGATTTCATCAATTAAATAGTTACATGTTTATAGAGGATAACAAACATACTATACAAAATAAAATCCACAGTAATTTAACTAATTCCTACCATTTTAAACATTTTAGTGACAATGCAAACTTAAATATTACTGCTGTGAAAACTCAGGAATCTACTCTCTTTTCAATGCATGCATAACCAGGTACGGTAACAGTAACTGAAGCTTGAAGGATACAAACCACTTGAAATCTAGTGAAGGTATTAAAAAAAATTCGTTCCAGATATGACACCCGCTGACATTTTTAATCTCTCTCTCTAGATATAAAAAAGTTTTTCTTGTCGGGCGGGCGACAGAATGACGTCATCACATCATCAGTGTCGACAGGCTCTCTCAGCAAGCGTAGCAAACAGAGGGCGCAGCCCCTAATAGTTTTACAATCACATTTTTCCTACTTAATTTAATGGACTACACAAAGAAAACCCTTGAACTAAGTACATACCATGTGCTACCACATGCACCATGTAAATACACTGAAAAATAGAAAAAAATCTCTCTCCTTCTAAGTCTCTTAATGTTGCAGTAATCTTAGGTGTCATTCGTAACAGCAGTGTGTAAACAAAACCATACAGAATAAGGTTTTTATTTTTATTGCTTGTGTGCCTATACTTAAACTCCCTGGGTGTGTCTAGACTACATCCACAGAGGGATGTAAATTAGACACTTCGAAATTGCAAATGAAGCTGGGATTTGAATTTCCTGTGCTTCATTTGCATAATCACGTTATGGTGCTCTTTCGAAAAACCGTTATTTCAAAAGTGGAACCGCAGTCTAGACACGGTTCTTTCAAAAATAGAAGCCTTTTTCGAAAGATCCTGTCCCGGGTTTGCAATTTCAAAGTGTCTAATTTACATCCCTCTGTACCCCCTGAGTTTATCATTTTTTTCTAATGCATTATGACAGGGAGTCAACTTGTAGGATACCCTTATCTCAAACATGGGGTTGCCCACATTGGCACTGTGTGTATAAATGCTAGAGTTATGTGCCTACCGTTTTAACAACCCAGCATGGGTTTGGGATGACCACTTCTGAAAACTGGAGCTTGACTGGTGTACAGCATTCTCAGATTTGTATACATGATCAGAATTGACATTCACACAGTCTTGGAGAACTGCCGTGAGATTCACAAAGGTGGGGACACCGCACTTCCTTTTTTGTCATTACTGTAGTCACCCAAGCCATGCAAGTGCCACACTTTTCATAGCCCTGGACATCTCTCAACTTAATGACACTCCGATACTTGAAGGGCCATTGCTTCTGATCCCCATTCTCATCTAGAACCCTGTTGTAATTCAGAATTATTTGCAAACCCATGGACCTGTCTTCCAGGTATGAGGGCCTGTGGCAACAATGAACTCTACCTCCCTGCAATGGATACATGTTCATCTCAGGGTAAGGCAGGAACTTATCTGAGCACGCTTTCATCATGTTAAAAGTACTGTAAGGAATAATACAGCTGTTTTGGAGCATATGTCTGAGATTCTCTCCCGTCCCTGGGGTTAACTGCATTAATGGTATTATAGATATGAGACTCTGTTAACCCCTGGTACTGATCAACAAACCAAAGCTACTAAGGAAAGTGTTTGGCAAGACATGTTCAGACTTCATTGAACCAGCAGCGTTTCTCACAGATGGAATGGAAGATGGCCAATATTTTGTGAGAAACAAGCATGTGTTTCTTAAGTAGGAACAACGGGCGAGTACATTGTGACACACTGTACCGTAAAATAATACCCCATTATTCACCATCTGTATATGGGGCTAGAATATATTTTTGTAGAAAGTATGTGTTGTGAGGTAAAAGTCATAATCATTTGAAAAGTCATAATTTGCTGAACACCATTGTCCTGTTAAAATCTGTGCATCAGTAGTGTTATAGAGTTATGAGAGTCTGCAATAAGTTTGTTATTGAAACATATTGTGAGTCTGGGAGACACCAACTGACTAGTCCCTCATAGGTAAAGAAGGGCAGCGAACAAATACCTTTAATGAAAAGCTGCACGGCCACAGAAGTTGCACGCAAGAACTTGCAATTCATATGAAGGACTGGCTACACCCCATGTCACAACAAGAGTTTTTCCAGTACAGGAGTTGAGGTATAAAAAGAGAGAACACTCTACACCCAAATCACCTCTCCTCCCCAGCCCCCAATCAACTCACAGAGCACAATCCTCTGAAACACAAAGAAGCATCCCTGAACTAAAAGAATGGTCCCAGACTGGAAGGGGATCCACCCTGCAAACTAAGAGCTGTAAACTGCCTGCAAAGGTTGGTGCGGTGAGAAAGTTTTATGCTTCACATTTCACTTTTTTGAGTAAAGTTTAGGAATTAGAGTGTGATTTTATCATTTGATTTCCTTTTGTAACCACTTCTGACTTTTTATGCCTTCTACTCACTTAAAATCTACCTTTCCACAGTAAATAAACTTGTTTTAAAAATATTTTATCTCAACCACTATGGTTTTTGGTAAAAGTATCCATGGGAATTTCTACTCAGGTTAACAAAAGCTGTGGCATGACCATTTTCTTCAATGAAACGACAAACTAATGAGCTTACGCTGATCAAGAGAATCATGTCAGATATACATCTCAGGGATGCAAGTCTCTGGCTGGGGCATCTGTGGGTGTCGCTATGTATACACTTCATGAGTGGCTGGGAGAGCACTCATGTAACTTTGCTAGGTGTGCTTTCACATGCTAATGGCTGAGTGGGAGCGCTAAGGTGCTGCTTTCACAAGCAGGGCAGTGTAGGAGACACCCTGGTCTGGAGGAATAAGGGGACACTGCTGTTTAGAAAGCCAGCTTATACCCGGGGGAGGAAGAGGGGAGGTGTTCACGAGTGTATAGTGAACTAGAAAGGAAAAAAGGAAATCCCTCAGCATTTCCACGTTGTGCAGTGTGAATCTTCAGCTCTAGAGTGAAGATGGCCTGTGGAAAAGAATGCTGCACAACAAGAGGATTCAACTGATTTTAAGAAAATATTTTACTCTAAATGCTGCTACTTCTGTGCTCGATGCTGCCCAGATGGATAAGTGAGAGCATGGGGTAACCGGGGCTGAGTTGGATCTTGGATGGGAGTACAAGGACTCCACATCCCATGTAACTGAGAGTACCGCTCCACAGATTGCAAACCACTAGTGGAAATAACAGCAGTGAGGCTCCGCAGGGGAACTGGCTGCGTAGCTGATGGTTGTGTTTGACCAACCCTTTGTCTCTATGAGGGAGGCTAGAAAACAAAACTGTGATTTTAAAAACTTACGAGGTGTCATTTTTAATGAGTGGGGTTGAAAAACGTGGCAGGGTCCTTGTGTGCACTGCAGCGAGCTGGCTTGTTCTGGAAAAGTTTGCACACCGTTCACACAGGCTGCTCGCACACTTTAAACACTGCGTGAAGAGCATTCGCTGGCACACTTCTCAAAACATCCAACCCCCTCACTTTCTAGGCTGGACAGGACCTGTCGCAACTCTCCAAAGATTTGAGGCCTCTTTGCTTTTGCCTACACACGGATTCCCCTCACTGCTCATGTCTGTCTTAGAGCGTCATGCCCTTCCATCATTTTCTGAGCACCCGCCAGGCTTGAATCAGCAAGCTGGAAAGAATCCCTTATTTTATTCAAAAGTTTATTGCTGAGAGGAGCACTTAATTATAATTTTAAAAGCTTTTTCAACAGGCCTGGCTCCCAGGAAACATCTTGACTAACACCAGCTAGGACCAGTCAGCTTGAGGCAGAACACGTCTCATTTTTGGCTGCACCTTTGATTACCACAGGTCCTTTTCATGCTTGTCAGAATCTTAAGAAGTACCCTGCTGTGGGGTCATTCCTAGACTTCCACCAGTGCATTGTAGCTTCAACACAGCTGCCTCTCTGTGGTGCCCTCATGCCAGCAGTAGTCTGTGGAATAGAACATTAATTTAGCCACTAGCTGCTAGTCCTATTTGCATTTATAATGCACAGATGGATCACAGGAGTGTGAGAGGAGAACGTGGGATGTGACAGACCTAAGTCCCTAGATTCCAATGAAGAGAATCAACTTCAGCATCATTTCTGTGTTTTAGTTAACATTGGGGCTACAAGATTACAAAATGCTCTGTAGATGACAATGTTCCTTTTTGTTTAAAAATTAATACACCAGTAAGGTAAGACTGAAATGGTCTGGCCTTCCTTTTCTTACCACTGTAGTTTGCTGGAAATGGATCTAAGCAGAGACTTTTAAGGAAGCTATGATTTCTCTACACCCTCCATAAGCTCAAACCCAGGCATTAAAAACACCAACTACAGCAGTTTGTGACATCCCCCCCCCCCAAAAAAAAGTAGCATGTTGCCTTCTCTTATGATCACAACTCTGTGACACCTTTATGGTTCGGGGGAAGGGTTTTGAGAGGATTAATTCTGTCAACCTAAATGCCACCTTGGGCCTCCTCCAATGAAAAAGTGTAGGCCAGCTGTTCCAGCAGTGTTCTTTGCATGGTAGTTAAAAAACCCCAATCAATGGACAATTCTGGAGAAATTTAGGATGCTTTCTACCTTCTTCAGTTACTGAATGACTATATCTAAAGTAGCTGGCAATGTTAACAGAACTGAAAAGCTCTAAAACGGATTCCCTTTCCCCAGAATTATAATTCTCCTGGGAAAGTAAAATAAATAAAGGAGAAAAAAATAATTGAAACAAATTCCTTTAGCCTAAAAGTAAGGGGCTTTCCCTTCTGTCTGAATTCTGCTTAGCACAGAATAAAGTCGTGGGGGGACGGATGCCTCTCGGGAGCTGGCGCTGGTTGTTTCCGTTGTCTCGCCCTGAGAAAAGTTAGACAAGCTGCTCTACCTTATGCCAGTAGAGAAGAAATGTAGCAGAGCTCTGTTCCCTCATGTTCTCGTCTGCTGACACAGTACTTATGCTGGCAGAGGAAAGGGGTGACCAATGCAGGAGGAGGTTAACACCAGCAGAGAATTCCCATACACAAGGGAAATAGTCCCATGGCTACTTCTGGCTAGAACGTGGCTGTTTTGTATTTCCTGAGCAAGGTACTCACAGTGGAAGGAGAAATCAGACCAGATTTATTTTCTTGGCTAGTCCTACTTACAAATTACTGTCCCTCTCTCTTTCCATGTATCAACATATACTTTCCATCTCCATGCCACGCTCTTTTTATCCTGATCTCGGTGTGCTGGTCAATCTGTTTTGTATTTATTTTCTCCCCTCTTTTTCTGGGAAAAGCAGCCCCCTCTTTCTTCCCAGTCTTTTACATTCACCCCAAACTCTGTCCATATCTCTTGCTTTCTCCCGTGGAACAAGGTCAATTTCCTTTCACTCCCTTTGCGATTTTCCAACCCAACTGCAAATAGAACACCATATTGCCACTACATCAACAAATCTTTAAGAATATTGCAAACTGAGGACACCCATGTCTTTCATCAAAACTCATTTTTTTCACAGAATATTAGAACTGAAAAGGACATCGAGAGGTCATCAAGTCCAATCACCTGCCCTCATGGTAGGACCAAACACTGTCTAGATCATCCCTGATTGATGTCTGTCCAACCTGCTCTTAAATATCTCCACTGATGGAGATTCTGCAACCTCCCTAGGCAATTTATTCCAGTGTTTAACCACCCTCGCACTTAGGAAGTTTTTCCTAATGTCCAACCTAAACCTCCCTTGCTGCAATTTAAGCCCATTCATTCTTGTCTTGTCATCAGAGGTCAAGGAGAACAATTTTCCCCCCACCTCCTTATAACAACCTTTTAGATACTTGAAAACTGCTATCATGTCCCCTTTCAGTCTTCTATTTTCTAAACTCAACAGCCCAGTTCTTTCAGTCTTCCCTCAATTAGTCTTAGCTAATGTTGAACGTCTCTGGGGAACTATGAAACATAGGCATTAAAGTCAGGGTTAGGGCTGCTATTTTTATTCATTTTCAGTATCTGAAAAAATGCCTGGCTGCATTAGATCTTTGCAACTCCCTAATAAAATAATTTCTTAGAAGTTTACTCAAAGCAAGAATGGGTACATCTGAAGAGAAATCTGCTGCTTTATTAGCAATAGTGAACACAGAGTGACAAACTGCAGAAGTCAGTGACAAAGCCCCCACTAACTTCAATGGGACAACCCACGCATTTTTAAAAAATCCTTATAATGCTTTATAAAAGTATTGTTTGCATCCTATATTCCCTGAGTGTGGCTGAAACACACCCCTGTGCAGAGGGCAAATTGCAAGGCCCATAAACCACTACAAACTCAATTAAGTGTTCAAAATAGGGTGTACACAGCGCCTATGCCCCCCGCCGTGCCCACAGCACAGAGGAGAATGTCATCTCATGTGTGTGCTCCAACAGCCAGACAAGGTGCTTGCTCCATCACCTGCGGTGAGACCCACAGAAAGCATGAGGAGAGCTATCGGCTGACTTGTGATTGGGATGGGAATGTCATTAAAAATACCTTTGAAGGAGCCAGACTGTTTTCTCTTTAGTTTGAGGATGCTGCTTTTGTTTTATTTTTGGTTTGCTTGTTGGCTGGTTTAGAGAGGGGGCTTTGGTTATCAAGTTTATTCTGAAACAGTGATACATGAAAACTTGCAACCTGTCTCCTTTTATAAGTGGGTCTGTTTAAGCCAAAAGCCCTAATGATACTCGCTCTTCAAAACACAGTAGGTGACAAAACTCAGCTGTCAGGAACAGCCCCAGAGAAGGAATTATTTTCTCATACATTAGGGTCTGTTTCAATTAGAGAAAGGTCCATCCTGCTTAGTCTGAAGTTCTTCCAGTGGAAACTCTGCCGCTGCTAGATGTATCCCCACTGAGGAATCATAACAAACAATCTTTGCTTCTGAATGAAGTTCACAGAAGGTCAATTAGTTCTTTCCAAGTATATAACAAAATATGGGGCAACAGGATCTTCTCCTATGAAACATGGTAAGGTATTTCCACATAAAAGCAACACAAGAGCTAGGCCTAAACACTATGGAATTGTAACTACTGAGCTCTCTGCATCCTGCACTCTATGTCAGTGATCACTAGTGCTTACACATAGTTATGAGTAACAGAGGATGTGCCGCCACAGACTTTCAGAGAGAAATATTTGTGACCAAGAGGGGAGTCATAATGTAACCAGTCATCTGTGTGAGCATTAGCACAGCTTCTGTCATTATTCTCTGTGACTGGACTCAGCAATACAAGTAAAAGAAGCTAGTGTAATGTTGAATTAGTTATATTCTTGGTCAACTTTATTTGGCAAATGTCTCCCAAATGCAGGTTAGAAATATCAGAGCAGAGCTAAAGCAACCAACCCACTAGAAACACAAGTGCTACTGCTTAGGATGAAGGGCAGAATATATTATTCCACTGATGCTCATTTTAAATCATGAAAAGAAAACAGAGATTGCTTACAGTGGAACAGATTTTCTGTATTGTTGACAGGGTGCTTCCTTTTTTTGCCCAGGGTTTAATTCAGTCTGAAAAGCAAGAACACACGGTGATTATTAAATGACTGTATTAAAATGCCATCTCAGCAGTGCTAGCCCAGGACTGACACCAGGAGCCGTGATGGGGCAGTTTGCCTGGTGACAGAAATAGTACACAAACCCAGTCCCAACAGCTGGAGGAGTCCCTGGCGGCACGGTTACCTCACTCGGCAGGTGCACTGAACGTGTGTGTTCATGAGGAAGCACATCAGCCGGGGTTACCCCTTCCGACCCTGTGACAGCATGCAGGAAATCACAGCCTTGTTTACCTCAGCCACACAGCACCGGCATTAGGCAGAGCACAGCTCTAGAAGGTGCAGCCTGACAATTCAGCGCCGCGGTTCCAATCCCACATTTGGCCTGGGGCAGGAGATGGTGTTTGAGCTCTTCTCTGGTGCCGCGTAAATGAAGTGGAATCCATTTCCAGGTGCAAATTGTGCTCTGCATTCAAGCAGAGAGATGTTTTCTTCCTAACGACCAGCTCTAAACATTCCCTCTGGAATCTGAGGTTCCTTTAGTCATATCTGCAGACTAAATTCTGCCCTCACCGACACCTCAGCAACACCACTGCCATGGGCGGTGGGAGAGAGGGCTGGGGCGCGTAAATGAAGTGGAATCCATTTCCAGGTGCAAATTGTGCTCTGCATTCAAGCAGAGAGATGTTTTCTTCCTAACGACCAGCTCTAAACATTCCCTCTGGAATCTGAGGTTCCTTTAGTCATATCTGCAGACTAAATTCTGCCCTCACCGACACCTCAGCAACACCACTGCCATGGGCGGTGGGAGAGAGGGCTGGGGAGACTC